GAGAATTTGAGTAACTCTGAACTCAGTAAGTTACGCATAATCCATCCTACCCTCAGCAGTTCGTCTTCGCAAAGTACCTAGCGGGGTGCGCATATCACCCCAACCTTCTTGGAACGACTACCCAAAGGAAGATGATAACCAAGGTGTCCCTCTCGAACGCGATGGCAAGAAAACCATTTTTGCTCATTGTGTTCCCGAGCTCTAGGATTCTCCTGATCACGAAGCACAAAGACATGACCGATAGCAGTGATGTTACATCCGCGAATCACCCACTCTAGACGTTATCACTAAATCATGGAAAAAAATCCTTCAGCACCTAACTGTAAAGGCCGTGCCTCAATATTAATGAACCTGGTGCTGCACTCCGAAGGAATGATACAAGTCCTATTGGATAACCAGTTAAACTTTTGTACCAGGATGCCAACCGAATTCCGTCTAAAGGCAGTGGGCAGCAGACGCACGTCCATGAGTGGTCAGCACTTCGCTGGAATTTACAGTCTCAGTAAATACTAGGTCTCCACCGTCTTGCAGAGCGACCGACACAACAGTACTCGCGGCACCCGACATGACAGAGCGAAGAACGGCAAGACATCTTGGTCTTAGGCACCCTGTGAAACCATGCAGCCAGACTGAAATTCATAAACCAGCGACCTACCAAAAAATCGATTAGGCGCGGACCACATAACCGTCGGCCTAAAAGGAAACTCGAATTGGACATCCAGCATGGCACTCCTAAAATCAGAAACATCATCCTTTTTGTACACTAACGTACAAGGCTTAGTAAGTTGGTCGAACTAAGAGGGCACCGGACGTAACTAACACGGAACCTCATCATGATTACGGGGACCTGGTTAAACTTTAAGATAACTAATTCTGAGGTCGGTTTACCTGGTATATCTCTGCTTCAAAACGATAAAACTGAAAGGGGTGATGGTGCATGTATTGCAAAACTAACCTACGGTCTAAACTAACTGATTATCTGGAATATCGCTCCTCTGCTTCGCTTTGATATCAATTATGGCTGCGGAATAAGGAGACGTGTATCGTAGCCGTAATTTACCGTCCATCAAACTCTACGTCGGAAAGGAACTTCAGATTGAATCCCATTTTGAAGGTTGCACGGAAAAGTCATACACCCACATCCTTATTGCGGGAGACTGATTTTCACGACCTGAAGATGCCAGCATTCAAGTACGCGCGCTTTAAAACCTGTTTGTAAGAACTAATTTCTGTACATCCACGTCAGCTTTCTCACCAGATTTCGAACTGCTAACAGGAACTCATGATCAACGGAATAGTTGCAAACACACCATTAGGTCGCGTTTATTATATTACTCCATGGTTTGACCATATATGCTATGCGGATATGATGAAGAAGGAAATGAAGAAGTATATACCCTCACACACTATAATCTGTTATTTCCGCTTGTTGAGGTATTTTAAACCTACTTAACTGAATATACCCATAGGGTTACCCACGAAACGTTCACAAGGACATTTAGCACATTGATAGCACCAGAATCGGAACAGAAACCCTTCCACTGTCAAAACAAGAGCAAAACATTTCTGAGGATCAGAACGCGCAAACACATTTTGAGGGATTTGGCATGGCGAACTCACAAGAATTGTCAGAATGTCGCAATCTGGACTGTATACGCCGCACAGCATAACTTTCTGTGAACTTGATCCACAAGGACAAGGTGATGCATAGGCAGGAGTTAATCAAGCGATCCTACATGAACCGCAAACTGTCATACATACGCGTTAATGGTCTCAGTAAGACGTGGCCCGGAGTCGCAGCGCTGGTTACGACTGACGGGTGCACGAGATCAGCGATGGAAACAGCCAATCGTTTATGGTTTCATTACTCCCGTGCGTTCCAGAGTATGAAGAGCCCAAATTTTATCCCCGTTTCTAGTACTCCACCGTCGACTTTATCCAACGTCACCATCAGTTAGAATCTGTGCTGAAGTTGTTATTCCTGCGTATGCATTTCTCCTAGAGTAGATGACTTTCGACCGAATTCTCTTCAGGTAGCAGCCAGTTATCTAGCAGAACCACTGACCATTTTGTATCAGTGCTGTCTAAAAGAGAACCGAATCCCACCACTCTGGAAGCGAGGGACCATCACTCCCATCCATAAGGAAGTAGTCACATTGATCCTACCAATTACCGTCCGATAACACTGCTACTTGTGCTTTCCAAACTTATGGATTCGATCATCGCAGATTCTTTGAAGAGACATGGCTTCCGCTAAAATAGCTTATGTACTACTAAACGTATAGCTGCATGCAGCAACTGGGCGTAGCAGTTGATCTTGGAGCAGAATGCGATAGGCGATATTATCTACCTGGAATTCGCCAAAGCGTTCTAGCACTTAAAACATCGAATTCTCTTCTACTAGCTATGAAAATATAGTATTAACGACTCAATCCTGGGTTGGCTAGAAAATTTTCCGGAAATCCCTGTCCAACTCAACTGAGTAGGAGTGCTGTGTAGAAGGTCGTTCGGTGCAATGATTTGCCTATTCTTGGCTTTCCTTAAAGATCCAGAAGCTAATGTCTTTTGATTTCCTATTCTTCGCAAATGATATTAAGATATGGCAGGCAATCAGAGGATCGGACGACTACGAAGAACTCCAGTGCGAAATTAAGAGGATTTCGAACTGTTCATTTCAGAAAACCCTACCTCCATAGGCAAGACTATATGTGCTGACTTGGGGCGCACCGATTGCAGACCAATTCCCAGGAACGCGAGCTTGACGTGCTCGTACAGTGTGACCTTGGCTGTTCAACTCAGTCTGAGATAGTTGCGAAAAGAGACGACCAGCACGTCAGCCTGCTGCAGAGGGCAATCGGAAGTTTTAATCCATCACTTTTAACTGTGTTGCACAACTTGCATGCGTCCTCACGTAAAGTACGCTATCCAAGCTTGGTAACCTTGGTTTGGACACGACCTAGAAGTGCTAGAGATATCACATTGAAGGGTAACAATAATCTCAACATTCTACGCAGTCACTCTTACTATAAAAGACTGAAGTTGTTGGGTTTTGTATGGATGATATCAAAGGGTACGCGATGATCTCATATTAGTGGCTCGCAGAACAACCTCCCAGTGATGTCGGCTGGGTGGTTCGAGTTACTGTCGTTCCAATGAATGGTTCGGCGGCAGTGTTTCAGGACGTGGTACGTTTCCGCCTGGCAAACGTTCCCCCTATAAAAACACCACAAACACTGAGTCGTGGCAGACATGACTCACTAATAGATAGTCGCTGCCCATTGCTTCACTTCACAGACGTCAGTCATTCACTTTGAAGAGTTCCTATGATCCGTACCTGTAACGGAGACCAGAACAAACAGAATCATAAATGCAGTTTACCACAAACAAGTTCAATCAGCTTGGCTAGCTAAACACAAACGCACATATATACACGCACATAGATCCAGTTTGAACTGGTTAGCTTGTAACGACTTTGTACAATGACCGCTTTTTCGAGTATCCATTCCGTGATCATACCTACGCAGGCGTGCCACGCAGTATCAAGCTTAAACAATTGATTTATTTATAAATATTGTATGGCCCTAACCGTCTCTCTCTCTCTCTCTCTCTCTCTCTCTCTCTCTCTATATATATATATATATATATATATATATATATATATATATATATATATATATATATATATAACCCTTGCCAAATAAACGTTTGGCAGAGTGCCACAATGCAAGAGTAACAATAACAAATGGGAAGAACATGGCGAATCAGAGTAATGGAAGCAAAGTACGTGCTCTGGTGCAACCCAAGGTTGCGGATCGGGCAATGTCTTCCTTGTGGAGGTAACTGCGTATAAGTCTTGTCTGCTTTGCATGCGAGATGAATAAGCGGTCGCGGATAATCAGCGGCAGCGCCTCAGAGAATGGGGTGTTCTGGGCTGGTCACATGGTTTGCCATTAAATAGCACAATTGCTCGTATGGCGCTGTGTCAAAGCCAATCTGATCGGCTATAGGGTCACTGACTACTCACACTTGTAACACTGGGTGACTATCTAACGGAGAGGGGATGAACAACCATGCTGGCCACCGGTTTCTCTGTGGACTGCTTCCGAACAGAAAGAAGGCGAATGAGCCACCTGGGTGACAATGATCTTCGTAAATCGTACCGCTACCTGGTGGACCTAGTCTTTAAGACCAAAGGCTTGGGGTGGGGAGCCTTAAGTAAGCCTTCTTCCTCGGCTTGAGCAACCAGGAGGCTTACTGCCCACACAGTACACGGAACTTTGCTTCCTAACCACGTATGCCGCCATTTGTTGAAAATTTTCCACAACACCTAGCTCAGAAGTAACTGCCTGCAACTGAGTAAACAACACAGAGTCTAGTGTCTCCTCAGCTTTGCCAACCTTGGAACTCTCCCAAACTTTGCCATCTCCTCCCCTAACTCGGATATTTTCAAAAAACGATCGGATGTTGCTCTTAGCTCCCAGCACTTCGTTACCAAAACTGTGCTACTGCGGAATATCGTTATCATGCCCTCATGCTGCACTTAAGTGTCACAATCATGTGTTACCTGAGAAAGCGACCTTATTTTTATTTTTCTCACGCAATGCGTCAACTATCACTTCGCCTTATGTTGTTCCGTATGCTTGCATTTAATACGTATTTAACATTTTCTATGTTCAGTAACGTAACTAACTCAAGTGCCGCTTAAACGCATAACTCGCAACTCTTTTGCTTTCGCAGTTTTCACCCCAACAATCCTTCCGGACTTGTCAAGCACTTGCTTTATTACCCGTGATAAATCTTAGTTCAATTGATCGTCTGCTCTCAGTCCACAACGATTGGCTGAGAGCCGCAATCCCACCTATCTATAGAATTTGATCTTTGTACCATATTCTGATCCTTACTAGATACATACAAAGCGGATCATATTTTTTGAGCTACTCGATCCCTACATGTCGCTACTGTTCCCTGCTTACCATGCAGTTTATCCTAATTTTTTGAAGCAATGCTATCGGTCCTCTGATGGGTCTCTGGATCGTGGGAGTTACACAGGATGTCAACTCAAAAATGGCTAATCCGTACTGGATCCTGATCTACGGCGGCCTAGGGATTGCTATTGGTCTATGGGTTTGGGGCCGGCGAGTTATTCAAACGTTGGGAAAGGACTTAACAAAGATAACCCCAACAAGGTGAGTCATCTCCTAGCCTACCCTCACCAGGAGTGCCCAATCCTCATGACCAGTATCAAGCCAGTCGTTCATTCGTGACACGTGTGCAAGTTGACAGAGGTACCAAATCGAAACACGACGTTTGTCTAATGAGGTTATTAGGCAGTATTACCTATTTGACTCTCCCCTTCAATCCCGAAATACGTAAGCGACAATTGTTGTCAGCCTTAAGCGACCAGCTTAGATCGACACTGTTGATGAATGAGCACCATATCTTTCCCTTTTACTCCTTCTTTCACTCTGTTACCAGTGTTTGATTTGATACCAAATTATAGGAACGTATTCATTTCTGTGCACTGGCCTATGGATTGGGTGGGTGTATTCAGGACGACAGTCACCAGCGCTGCGCGACGATATGCTCACCTTATTTTTGCAGTTTACTTGTGATTGCGTATGGCTGTTGTAAATACCGTTCTTTTTCTGGAACTGTTGCCCTCGTGTCGACTGCATTCTCCTACGTGTACCAGATTTGGTTGGCGGACAGTAATTAGCTTCAGATTGTTGATTCGCAGTACTCTTGTGTTCATCCGAGATACAAACGGTATCTGACTTTTGAGGAGTTGAGCATAGAAGCATTAGACCTATCGTGGCAAAGTTGCACTGAACAATTCGAAAGTTATCGTTTCTATAACTGTGTTTGACGACGTTTGGCTTGCGTTAAATTGAGAGAAGTGAGAATTACTCCCACCTTTATAGCGATGCTGATGACTGGTGCAATTGCAGGAGTACATAGCGTGAGTTTGCTTCATAAATCATTTGGAGCTCCAATCGGCTTGGAACAACCACAGTTTAATCCTACAAGAAGTGCAGATTTATTGAAAATGCTTACCGTGGTTGTAATGAAATCATTCCTGCTCTGGGCTGCATCTTAATGCGAGGCTGCTTTCTATTAGGGTTAACTGATGATTACACTCAATTTCCTGAATGTACAACATTAGTGGTTCCGGATCCGGAAGCCAATACCATGCTTTGAGTGCTAGTCAGTGAATATCCTCCATAATCAGGTTTTATTTACAAGTAATTTAATTTTTGTGCCTCAACAGCCAGAGGTGCAGTTGCACTCTTGCTGGGTTAGCAGCGGTTTCCTGATGACAATGGATTGATCCAATGGAACAATGGTGTAACTCAGGTAAAGGCTAAACTTCCACGGCTCCCTACGATGACCTGAGTGAGAAACATATGCTCATAAAACGGTGCCAAGATTAACCGCGCATTCGTGTACTCATAATACTATTCCCATTCGCACAAATGTAAACTCGCCTACCCAGATTTTACCAGGAGCAGATGAGCACGGTTCGTTTGCGTTTTGCTCTCACCCAATGAACGCGGGTCACAGCACGTATTATTAATGGTGCCATACATCTAAGTAGCCAAGGTCGGTAGTAACCTGAATGGGATATTGAGTAACCAAGTGGGCCACCGGCAACTTTCCGACAACATGATCATTGTCTGGTGGATCGCGGTATATTCCCAAGTAGCGCATGGCTAAAATGAGCCTGCCAGAAAAGCAGCTGACTTCCATTGTGCTATGAAATACGAATGAAGGCTGCATTCTTTCCCAGTTATGCAAATTGACACGTGATGCTTCTTAAGTGTTTCGGTTGCTTTGAAATGCTATGGACTATCTCTGCGACTTACTCCCTCAATGTAAAATTCTGGACCCAGGCTGTGAGTACATCACTGTTCCACTGATGTTAACAGTCTGTCGCTAAATCTGCGCACGAAAACACACTGTTTGGGCTAATGGGCTTAGTTAGAGCAAGTATTAGACTTAGTATATGAAAACACCCTCGCCATTCAACCAAACTGTTCAATTCTCACTAACGAGCTTAAGAACGCGTTGTGGTTTGACATGTTACGGCACTTCAAACTGGATAGGGCTATGCCCTGTTACAGCAGTCACACGTACTAATCGATTCAATGGTCGCACGGAATCGTCCTGTACTTGACCTCACACATGTGCTGCACGGGTTACGCGTCACCTTGTATGCCCGCCATAATCTTGACCCAAATACCTTGTAATGGTTTTCTCTGACCCGGTTGATTCAGGTCTGGCTTACTTTGGCATGCCTGTTCCGGCTTAAGGTTATCTTCAGTTATTTTCGATGCTTCGATTAAATGCTGGATGCTGATGTTTCCATTATTGTTGCGATTATGCCTCAGCTGCCGTAAATTCGCCATCCCGCTCGAGCAATATCGCGCCTACCAAAGTCACGTTGGTTGTGGAATAGGTTAGAATTAATGAGAAACCGCTTGCAAACGGCAACACAATTAACAAGCCCACCGAAAGTTAGGAAGCACCAGCACCACGAGCACTAGTGTATTACACTTATTGAAGAGAAATGCGCGTTCAAGGATACATCGTACATTTGAAAGACAATTTCCAAGGTGCTGAGGTAAACACAGCTTGACGAAAGCGGTGGTTGTCTCTCCCTCGATCACTGCGACGATGCTCCAGGAAAGTAACGGGAGCGCTTCCTCCATCAACCTTATGTCTCATACAATAGCACACAGACTACGAGTTTGACTGACAGTTTTGCATTCCGTCCATGCAGCTTACAATTGTTTTCTTCTGTTTTAAACAGCGGTGTTTCCATAGAACTTGGTTCTGCTCTCACGGTGCTTCTAGCCAGCAAAGTTGGACTACCCGTATCAACAACACATTGCCAGGTCGGCTCTGTGATTTGTGTGGGTCGCTACCGCTCACGCGATAACGTCAACTGGGGAGTGTTTCGCAACATCGCCATCGCCTGGGTTGTGACGGTACCAGCCTCAGGCGGAATCTCTGCTTTGCTAATGTACCTGTTTAGTTTTGCCCTTTGATAAGATGACGTCCGATTCAACGATATTTTGCTCAATTTCAAATTCCCATCTCACTGGTTCCATGTGTACTCGGGTCTCATGGAAACAAAGCTTAGGAAATAACTTCCCATCTATTTTTTCTACCTTTCTATCATCTGGTCTGAAAATAGCCAACCGTCAAGTTGGAAGGCTTTTGTACACCGTTTTGTTAATACCTGTCCCAACACACTGTAATTATTTTGCTGTTTGACGAAAAAGTGACTTACGCTTTTGATTATTTCTGTGCATGCGCTGGTCGTTGTTCAGAATAAAATGGCTTAGCTCCGCTCATGGAATTTAGCTGTTTCCAGTTGACGCTTGATAACGTCTGTGTTGCGGTTACAGCGCCATATTCTGCACCAACTAGCAACTTGGAAGGATAACCTACCAGCCCCCTTTCGTAGCCAAACATTAACAGGAATAGTACTGAATGGTCTTAACAAACTGTTACCTTTACTTTCGGCCTGACCTCATAGATTCGTCGTGTATCTTGATGGTGACATCAAACCAGTCGGAGGGAATTTGATACACTAACTTTCTTGCGTCTTCCCTGTCGACTGGCAACGATATGGCGGTAAGTATAGTCCGACCTCACTCCATGCCAGTGCGATTACCTACCTAGTTATTTTGTGGCATCTAACAACGACTGGGACTTCGACAAAATTTCAAAGACCTTTTAAGAAAGCAAAAACCAGCCCAAGTAACTGTGATCTACGTCCTGATTCAGTAATGCTTACGTGTTCAACTTGAACGTCAGTGGAACGGTTACAATTCGGTCACTCGATGGCTTGTTGAACTCATAGCCTTGAACTTACGCAGTCGATTTCTGTCCCCATTGAATCAGTTCTCAATCAGTTAGCGCGTAAACTTTATGCTAAAGAAAGTGGACAAAAATGTTAATGTTGCTCTCTTACGGAAAATCGTGCTCACTTGACAGTATTCCGCGCAGAATGTACAACTCGAGGCAAAATACATTCCTGATCTCCGGTGACGACTGTGAAGTGACTTGGAAGCTCATTACACTCGAACTTATATGGGCTTGTGTGTACTACTCAACCTTATTTTGCTAACTTGCAAGCGAGGGACAAACGTTTACTTACAACTCTCCAGGCTTTTATGTACGTGTAAAACCTTCATCTAATGTTTGGAACTTCAAAACTGACTACTTAACTTGAGCCTAATCATATACTGCCAAGCCACACTGTGCCTTTTCATCGTCACATTGTACACACATAGAGAGCCCCATCACTCGTTTCAACGTTTGTTTCCAACTTCCTTGTCACTTTTTCTGTGACCATGCTGTCTTCACCAAAAGTGTGCACAGGCGCCATACAAACCGCGAAAACCAAACTGCAGACAATTAATTGTCAGTGCAGACGGTTGAACGGCTATCCCCACTAGCATAGAATAGTAACATATCAGGGCAATGCAGAGGTCGTCCCACAGTCGCGTTTATAAACGCCCCTATGCTATCACGTGGGAAATCTCGAACACCGACTCCATAGTAGTTTTCTGCCGACCGTCAACGCTAAATAGCGCGAAGGAATGCTACACGTCCATCTTCTATTATCTGGCCAAGCCTATTTTATTCAAGTGTTCATTTGTTTTCCGAATTTGGCGGTTTTGTCGCAAACGTTTCACCACCATGCAAGGTGGCATCCTCAGTGCGGTGAGATGCGGCGTGCAATCTTGCTGAATAAATCCTCTATCCGTGATCGACCTGCAGAGTACTTTTGTGAGGGAATTCCTGCAAGCGTGGTTCTCAACGAAGAACAATCAACATGCGCGTCAACATCGATTCAATATATGAAACACTTCGACAGAAAGAAATAAAAAACATTTTGTCACGCGGTTTAAGGCAGAACAACTCGGGCGCCGACTTTAGTCTTGGGGAAAACAGCTAGAGGTCACGGGAAGTAAATCGACACTGCCACTTGCAAAAGTAACATGCAGTTCGATCACGGATGGAGGATTCATTCAGTAAGATTGCAGGCCGCATCTCACTGAGGATGCCAACTCGCATGCTGGTGAAACGTTTGCGACAAAACCGCCAAGCTCGGAGAACAAATGAAAAATTGAATCATAAATCCGAGCTACCATTATTTCGAAACATCTTAAGCCTATTTTATGGTTTTGTGAAATTAACGCGATCCTATCCCTTTATAGCGCGTTGATCCTGCGCTATATATCCGGTACGCGACTAGACGGCAAACCAAAAGCAATGGATAAAAGACACAAGAGTAAGCGAGGGAAGAAGTTTATTGGACGGGAGGAGCGTTAGCTAATGCTAAAAATAAGGCACCAGGAGAGAGCTAACTAGGGAGAATGTCGTTGGCGTCGAGTGCGTTGACAGAGCGTCGTTCGCAGTCGAGTCGCGCGCCAAAGGCGAAGATCGTGTTCGTGTTTCCAACAAACAGGAACAACGTTCCAACAGGCAAACCGAATATTTCCCTAATACATAAGAAAGCTATAATTTGAATATTTTTGAATAGTTTACACAGTCATACGGAGGAATCTCCAAGTCGCTACACCTTCATCATTTTGAACCTGTCTCTATATAAAGTTGCTCAATGCATTCGATTGCTGTTGACTTTACACCTGTAGCAACCAATAAACGTGCGACTACACTCCTGTTATGCTCACCTTGTTAAAAGTTAACCTAATTGTGAGACCTGGTATTTTGCATACACTGGGATATTTCTCCGTCTCAGGCTGATCGTTAGGTTCCTGGAGGTTGGCCGCTCAACCGAATGCACGTGCACAAAATTTGGAGGGTTATCGTGTCCTGTTTGTGCTTCATGACCCAGTCACCTTGCTCAAAGTAGTGCTGGTACGAACCGAAGAGTTATCAATGTTGCTGATCACAAATTCTTTACTCGACTACTCGTTTCACTTTTTTGGACTCCTCAAGTAATGTTTGTACCAGATTCATGCAGACAATTATTGTATTTTATCCGTGAAACTACCGACGTTTACCCACTCCGGCGGCTCACACTTTTGAGCTTTGCGTCTAGAGACAATCTATTGCTCTTACTTGACGCAGACCTAGTCGGACGGTCGCGTGCTTTCTTCCCTTCAGACCGCTCAGAAGATGTTTAATCATTGTACTAAATCCATCGAATCATTATTTCACTTCACTCCGAAACTTCTGCGTTTTTCTCGGCGGAACCTCCAATTCTAACCACTAGTTACGAATTGTTCAAAGACAATTGTGGGATCATTCAAGGTACAAACCACGGGAATTTGAAGAGTTAACTCTATCTAGTAGTTGAAATGTCGTCCATCTTGAACTGCGAATAGCGACGCCCTTTCCAAGTTCTTGGATTTTGTGAAGGATTTGCTTTCGATTTATCGAGTGAAGAGCTATCTGGGTTGTTAGCTATGACGTCAAAATGCCTGAGTTGCAGTAAAGGTGTGGCTTCGCGTTCTAAGGCCGTACAGTGCTCTGAGTGTGACGGATGGCTGCATATTGCCTACTCCAACATTTGTCCTGAACTCTGAGTCTCTGCAACGATATCCTACATCGGCTATAACTGTTTTCTGTAGCGGCTGCCGTACTTCATTAAACAGTCGACGCCTTCACTCCGGACTGCCAGTCTTGAGCCCTCATTCTACTCCAACGAAGTTTGTAGCTTCCACTGCATGTTCACGCGAAGTCCAAATCCAAACTTAAGAAAATTGCTTCCCAGACCCAGATTCGCACTTGCCTCTTTGTGATCGTCCACCTGATTCTTTTGATACTACCTTACTTGAGACTGTTATCGATTGTAATTTGTTTCAGCACGTCACCATGCCAACCCGCGTTGTTGCCTACCAAACGCCAAACATTCTGGACCTTGTGCTCATCCCAGCTCAGTCAGATGTCACGAATCTAACAGTTCTTCAACCCAACAGCAAAAGTGATCATTGTGTCGTTTCATTCAAATGGACACGTCGCCTCAGGATCCATAGCCAAAGTGGTTGTCATCGGAACTTTTGGCATGCGGATCACTCCGTCTGAGAACAGCCGCAAGCGCTATGGACTGGAGTATTCCCAATCCCACTCCCCTTGATGATGCGTGGAACCTTGTGCTCTCCAAAATGACTTCTCTAATTGAGCAGGTCGTTCCTTTCTCCCGTAGAAAGTCCTTCAAGCGGGTCCACCTTGGATTGACAGTGAATTGAGATCTCTGCTGAACAGAAGACGCAAATTGTGGGACCGTTTTAGGCAATCTCAAACAGAGTCCGATTACTCTCCCTACGAGACTACCAGGAATGTTCGTGTCACGTTGAAGCGTCAGAAACGTCAGCAATATGAACTATCATTAGCAGGACACTCCAGAACGACACCAAAATGCTTTTCTCTTATCTAAAAAGAAACACCAGGGCTGGCAGTAGCATCCCTACCTTGTGTTCCTTTGAACATCGAAATTCACTTTGCGAAGACGCTGATAAAATCAGTCTTTTGCCGCAGCAGTACGCCTCTGTCTTCCAGTTTTCCTTATCTGCTGGATCAAGTAGACATTAACATCACTTCTGTGGTTACACTTCTCCTTGATTTAGATCCGCATTCTTCACCCGGACAGGATGGCTTGCACCCCCTATTCCTTAGGACTGTGGCGCAGTACATCGCCCCTCCTATCTGTCAGATTTTCCGTCGTTCTTTTGAACCTGGGCGTCTCCCGTCGGCTTGGGAAGTGGGCATTGTCTAACCCATATACAAAGGAGGGAACAGGCAAGATCCAGCCAACTATCGTCCTATCTGATTAACGTCGATATTGTGTAAAGTTATGAGGCGGATCTTGAAGCAGGCTCTTCATTACCTCGCGGAACTGATTCTCTTCTCTTGCGCACAGCATGATTTTCGAAGTACACGCTCATGTACCTCGAATTTACTAGTTGCTAAGGAGAAATGTTCGAAATCGCTAGATTCCGGTAAACGCCTGGATGTTGTGTTTGTAGATTTCAGCAAAGCTTTCGACAGGGTCCCGCACGAACGACTTTTGCTTAAACTCCGAGGAATCGGTATCGCCGGGAATCTTCTCTCTTGGATCCCTGATTTCCTTCGCGACCGCACGATGCAGGTGAAAGTAAACGAAACATTTTCTGCCCCTATTCTCATGACTAGTGGGGTCCCACAGGGTTCTGTCCTCGGCCCCGTGCTTTTCAACGTCTTCATCAATGACTTACCGTCCACACTCCAGGCGGATTGCCTAATCTACACCGACCACCCGAAGATGTGGATGGAGGTATTCAGTATTTAATATGCTGACAGGTTATAATCGACGCTCGACCTGCTACATGATTGGTCAATTAA